AAGAAGGTTCAAGGACAGGTTCCTGGTTGGGAAAGAATGGGACTCTGATACATGAGATGTGAATATCTGAGTGGATGTACCTAAAGATCTTGAATTCCCAGATTGCTCTGAGCCTGCAGAAGTGGCCCACCTTTCTCTAAGGGCTGGCACTCCGACTTTGCTAAAAGATGATGCAGAGGACTCTCCTCTGCAGGACAACATGCACCTCGTGTAGAATCTGCCACCGTCTGCCCTCCTGACCACTAACCCAGTAACTAGGGTAAAGTCACAGCATGACTTGGCCAGAGACAAGCTGGGTCTCATAAGAGAAGGAAGGGCTTCTACTGCGAAGGAGCTGCAGAACCTACCAACATGTACCGGGAGCTGTTGACAGACTGCTGAGCATGGGTCCCAGGGGGAGGCCCTGAGACTGGAAGAGTATGCCAGAGACTATGTTCAGACAGCATGGGATCAACAGGGGCAAAACATTTCAAAAAAGGAAAGATGATCAATTTGGAAATCCCCCGGCATGATCACGGGATGACAGTGGGAACATACTGCTAGAATGGCTCTTAGAAGACTGAATAAAATTATGGCCCACACCAACTAAGGTAGGAATGCCAGAATTGCCATAGCAGAAGATGGAAGAGGGGAAAAGGCTCAGAAAAATGGCCGTGCTAGAACTGCTATACTGCATGCAGCAGGAAAGCCTGCAAGGTGACTATATCCCACAGGAGACCCGGAAGATATGCCAAAGCAATAAGAAATGCACTGCTGGGAGAGACGTAAGAGGGCACTAGTATCACCAAGAGTCTCTAGGCCAGGGCTAATGATCAGGGCTAATGATCAGACAGAACTAGGCTCATGCATGACAGTGGGGATGAACGGATCCCGAAACAATAGAAGCTAGATGTGTCTGTTAACCCTCAGAAGCCAAGTGGATGCAATTCTCATAATGAGCAGCAAGTTTGGAGTGGCAGCTGGGGACCCTGACCCTCAGAGAGTTGTGGCGATAGTTACTAGAACATAGCTAAACTAATTGGGCAAAAGTGTTCTGCTCGCTGGGCGCAGTGGCTCACGCCTGTAATCCCAGCACTTTGGGTGGCCGAGGCGGGTGGATCACGAGGTCAGGAGATCGAGACCATCCTGGCTAACACAGTGAAACCCCGTCTCTACCGAAAATACAAAAAATTAGCCGGGCGTGGTGGCGGGCGCCTGTGGTCCCAGCTACTCAGGAGGCTGAGGAAGGAGAATGGCATGAACCCGGGAGGCGGAGGTTGCAGTGAACCGAGATGGCGCCACTGCACTCCAGGCTGGGCGACACAGCAAGACTCCTTCTCAAAAACAAAACAAAACAACATGTACATTTACAGTCTTGCCTCAGGTCTGTGTTAATGCTCCTGCTCTTGACATAATATAGTCCTGAGAGGCATGGGCTGGCTGCATACTGATGACATCATGCTAATTGAACCAGCTGAGAGAGAATTGACTAGTGCATCAGAGACCTCTGTAACATGCATTCCAGGGCATAGGAGAAAAACTCTATGTTAGACATCAGAGGTCTAACATATCAGTGACATTTTTAGGGGTCCAGGGACCTGGGACATGCTGAGACTACTCCTCAAAGGAAAGAATACATTATTGGATCTTGTACTTCCCATCACAAAGAAGGAAGCCTAATATCTGGTAGGCCTCTTTGAGTTCCAGGAGCAATATATTCTAAAAGTGAGACTATCGCTTTAACTCCTACTCCAGATTACATGAAAGCCCATCAGTTTTAAGTGGGGCCAAGAGCAGAAAAGGGCCCTGTAGCATGTCCAGGCTACAATGCAAGCAGTCCTGCTGCTTGGGCCAGATGATCCAGCAGACTCTATGTTACTAGAGGTATCAGTGTTGGAAATTTATGACAAGTCCCAAAGGGAGAATCACAGTGCAGATTTGCAAAGTTCTGGAACAAGGCTATGCCATCTGTAACAAAGAATTAAATGCCTTTCTAGAAAGCTCCTGGAATGTTATTAGGCCCTGTTAGAGACAGAGCACCTGACCATCGGACACCAAGTAACCAGGCAGTCATAAGTGCTCAACATGAGCTGGGTTCTATCAGAGCCATGGAGTCATAAGGTGAGGCAGGCCCAATCCCAGCAGAAGTCCATCATAAGGTGGAAATGGTACATCCAGGATCAACCAGATGCAGGCTGAACAGCACATGTGATCTGCATGAGCTAGTAGCCCAGACACATAAGCCACTCATCACCGTTATACCAGCATCTCTCTCAGCTCACACCTCTGGCTCCATGTGGATCCCTGATTGTGATTACTTAACAGAGGAAGAAAAAACCTGGGTGTGGTTCATGGATGAGTTGCTTCGATACATGGGTACAAACTGAAAATGGGTGATGGCTGCACTACAGTGCCATTCAGAGATGACCTTGAAAGACAATGGTGAGCAGAAATCTTCTCAATGGGCAGTGACTCTGTCATCCAGTTTATACACAAAAACAAATGGCTTGGGTTTAGAACAAACTAGGACTCATAATGGTCAATGGCATTGAAAGAAAGACATGAAGATCGGGACAAAGAAGTATGTGGTAGAGGCACTTGGATGACATGTAGGAGCTGACGCGCAGTGTGAAGATCATTGATTAGCATGTTAGTGCCTATGTGACAGCACTCCCAACACATGCGTGGAGCAGCCATGGTGGGAGGGATGGAGGCTAGGCATGGGCCAATAGTAGAGGCTCACCAAGGCTGCACTAGCTCCTGCTGCTACATGTCCAATCTGCCAGCAACAGTTACTAGCACTGAGTCCTTTCTTTGGTATCATCCCTTGAGGGGACTGACCAGCCACCTTGCAAGGAGTAGCAATTAATTTAGACAGAAATAGACATTCTGGGGATGGTTTTGGCTTTCCTCCATCCACTGTCTCAACCAGCACCACTATCCCAAGGCTTACAGAGTGTTGAAACCACCAGCACGGGATCCTACATAGCATTGCATTAGACCAACAGACCCACTTTACAACAAAGGAGGTGCAAGAGTAGGTCCATGCCCATCACATCACATATTGAAACCAACCCAATAGTCCCATAGTTTTTTGATAAACCATAGGAATTGATGCTTCTGGTCTTAAAACTTGAACCTTTTATTTGTTTTATCTGCATTCCTTCTTCAGGAAGCAATCATCAGGCCTCTCAAAAAACTATCAGGCCAGGGACGGTGGCTCATGCCTGTAATCCCAGCACTTTGGGAGGCCGAGGTGGGCGGATCACGAGGTCAGGAATTCGAGACCAGCCTGACCAACGTGGTGAAACCCCATCTCTACTAAAAATACAAAAATTAACTGGGCGTGGTGGTGTGCGCCTGTAATCCCAGCTACTCAGGAGGTTGAGGCAGGAGAATTGCTTGAACCCAGGAGGTGGAGGTTGCAGGAGCCAAGATCACGCCACTGCACTCCAGCCTGAGCAATAGAGCAAGACTCCATCTCAAAAAACAAAAACCAAAAAACAAAAAAACTATCAAAGAACTGAAATTCAGCCAGGCACAGTAGCTCATATCTGTAATCCTAGCACTTTGGGAGGCTGAGGCAGGAGGATCACTTGAGGTCAGGAATTTGAAACCAGCCTGGCCTACACGGTGAAACCCTGTCTCTACTAAAAATACAAAAAAATGGCCAGGCGCGGTGGCTCACGCCTGTAATCCCAGTATGTCCGGAACTGTTCCTTCCAGTGGGTTCTTGGTCTTGCTGACTTCAAGAATGAAGCCGCGGACCCTCGTGGTGAGTGTTACAGTTCTTAAAGATGGTGTGTCCGGAGTTTGTTCCTTCAGATGTTCAGACGTGTCCAGAGTTTCTTCCTCCCAGTGGGTTTATGGTTTGTCTCCCTGACTTCAGGAGTGAAGCTGCCAACCTTCGCAGGGAGTGTTACAGCTCTCAAAGGTGAGTGTTACAGCTCTCAAACGTGGCGCACGTCCAGAGTTGTTCATTCCTCCCAGCGGGTTCGTGGTCTCGCTGGCTTCAGAGGTGAAGCTGCAGACCTTCCTGGTGACTGTTACAGCTCATAAAGGTAGTATGGACCCTAAGAGTGAGCAGCAGCAAGATTTATTGCAAACAGCAAAAGAACAAAGCTCCCACAATAGGGAAGGGGACCCTGGCGGGTTTCCGCTGCTCCCTAGGTGGCCTGCTTTTATTCCCTTTTTGGCCCCACCCACATCCTGCTGATTGGTCCATTTTATAGAGTGCGTTTAAAATCCTTTAGTTAGACACAGAGTGCTGATTGGTGCATTTACAATCCTTTAGTTAGACACAGGAGTTCTCCAAGTCCCCACCTGATTAGCTAGACACAGAGCACTGACTGGTGCAGCCTTTACAAACCTAGACACAGAGTGCTGATTGGTGCATTTACAATCCTTCAGCTGGACAGAAAAGTTCTCCAAGTCCCCTACCCCATTAGCCAGACACAGAGCACTGATTGGTGCATTTACAAACCTTTAGCTAGACACAGAGCGCTGATTGGCGCATTTACAATCCTTTAGCTAGACAGAAAATTCTCCAAGTCCCCAAATGACCCAGAAGCCCAGCCGGCTTCACCTTTCACCAGCACTTTGGGAGGCCAAGGCGGGCAGATCACAAGGTCAAGAGTTCAAGACCAGCCAGCCTGGCCAAGATGGTGAAACCCCGTCTCTACTAAAACTACCAAAAAATTAGCTGGGCGTGGTGGTGGGCGCCTGTAATCCCAGCTACCCAGGAGGCTGAGAAGGAGAATTGCTTGAACCCAGGAGGCAAAAGTTGCAGAGAGCCAAGATGGCGCCACTGCACTCCAGCCTGGGCGACAAAGCAAGACTCTGTCTCAAAAAAATAAAATAAAATAAATAAAAATACAAAAAAAACAGGCATGGTGGTTTGTGCCTGTAATCCCTGCTACTTGGGAGGCTGAGGCAGGAGAACCGCTTGAACCCAGGAGGCAGCGGTTACAGTGAACTGTGAACTGAGATGGCACCACTGCACTCCAGCCTGGGTGACAGAGCAAGACTCTGTCTCAAAAAAAATAAAATAAAAAATCACCACATCCAGACAATGGACAATGAGATGCTGGACCCCTCATTCATCATGATTGCTTCCTTGCCCCTCCCTAGTTCCTATTTTGTTATACATTGTTACACTTCTTCCCTGCTATATAAACCTCTAGTTTTAGTACAGCAGGGAGATGGATTTGAGACTAAGCTCCCATCTCCTCGGCTGTAGCACCCGATCTGTAGCTACAGAAGGCTATAGCACGACTCCTTCTTCTTCCTTCTTCTTTTTTGCTTATTCCTTGGTAATACTCGTTGTCTCTGTCATTGGCTTTCTGTGCAGCGAGCAGCAGGACGTAGACCAAACCTCTGGTGTTTCAGTAACAATATCATACTACCCAGTCTGAGAGAATGGTGGAGTAGCCTGTTGAAGCATCAGCTGGGAGGCATTGCAAAGATGGCAACCAACTTTCAATCTGGAAACCAAGAGGCAGAAGCAAGAATGACTCCATTTATCATCATACTCAATCACCCACTTGGAGAATTTGTGCTTCCTGTCTCTGCAACTATGTGCTCTGCAGGGTTAGAGGTCATGGCATTAAAATGCAGAAATGCTGACCAGGCGTGGTAGTTTATGCCGGTAATCCCAGTACTTCAGGAGGCCAAGGCAGGAGGATTGCTTGAGCTCAGGAGTTTGAGACCAGTCTGGGCAACATATTGAGATTCCCATCTCTACAAAAAATTAAAAGTTAACTGGACATGGTGGCACATGCCTGTAGTCCCAGCTACTTGAGAGGCTGAGATGGGACTTCAGGCTATTTGTGCCAAGCAGGACCAGCAGACAAGAAGAAGAGTCACCACTTTGGCAGAGGCAATTGACTGTGATCAGCAAGGGAAGGGAGCTCTACTGTTACACACTGGGGGCAAGGAAGAACATGTTTGGAACCCAGGTGATCCACTTTGTGGTACTCACCCAATTTAGACAGCTAATGGACAACTACAGCAGCTGTGGCCTGAGAAGGGCCTGGTGACCAGGGAGCAGATAGATCCCTCAGGGATGAGGATCTAGGTCCCCGGACCAGGTAGGCCACCTAGACCAGCAGAGTCTATTTGTGGGTGAGGGGAAATCTAGAATTGATAGTAGCGGAAGTGAAAAATGGGTATTAATCGTAGGCTCAAGACAAGCTGCAATGTCAGGGGCTGTTGTTCATCTCCTTAACCTTCCTGTTATAAGTTTCTCCCAGGAAAGAAGCCCACTGGAATTCCAGAGGAACTGCTCCTTGAACTTATTTGAAGTAGATCTGAACAGCACAAGGGGTGAATTATAATGGACACTGAGATGCGCGGTCCATAACCCCCATTAGGACTGATTACTTATCCCCGCAACTGCTTGGGAGTGCTGCAGGCAGACAGCTCTCAGCTGTGAGCACTCCTTAGGAATCGCCTCTGTTGCAGAGAGCAGCCTACTCGCTTTCCTAGAGCTGCCTTCATCCAGTGACCTGGCCCCCTCACCCTAACTCAGGACATCTCTGAAGGGCCTGCCAGCCTCGGAGCTCCTCTTGGGGTTGGCTGATGACTTTGTTGAGACTACTGCACAGTCCAGTCCTGCTTCCTCCTCTTCCCGTCCACAGGAGTTGACCCCAAGAGCACTCCCCAATAAACTTCCCACTCGGTCTCCCTCTCAGAGACTGCCTCCGGAGAACTCAAACTGTGACGTTAATATTTGAGCAAAGACTTGAAGGAAGAAGGAAGATTATTCCAGGTAAAAGGGCAGCTAGTCCAAAATCTCTAAGGCAGCAATGTCTGTGTGGTCAAGAAAGAGCGCAAGAAGCCAGAGTGGCCGTAGTGGAAGGAGGGAATGGAGACCATGGAGGAAGATGAGATCAGAGCAACAGTAGGAAGCCAGATCATGGAGTGCCCCAAAGACTGTTGTTAGATTTGGCTTTTTACTATGAGTGGGTCCCATTGCAGGGTTTTGATAAGACAAGTGACACGGCCAGGTGCAGTGACTCACGCCTGTAATCCCACCACTCTGGGTAGCCAAGGCAGGCAGATCACCTGAGGTCGAGAGTTCGAGACCAGCCTGGCCAACATGGTGAAACCTCGTCTCTACTAAAAATACAAAAAAAAAAAAAAATTAGCTGGGCGTGGTGGCGCGCACCTGTAGTCCCAGCTACTCAGTGAGGCTGAGGCAGGAGAATTGCTTGAACCAAGGAGGTGGAGGTTGCAGTGAGCTGAGATTGCACCACTGTGCTCCAGCCTGGGTGACAGAGGGAGACTCCATCTGAAAAAAAAAAAAAAAAGAAAAAAAGAAAGAAAATTGACACACTCTAACTTGAAATGGAAAGAATCATTCTGACTGCTGTCTTGAGAAAAGAGTATGAAGGGGAAGGATGGTCACAGGGAGACTAGCAGGGACTCTATTTCAGTCATCCATTGAGATGGGACAGTGGCCCAGACCATGGTGGCAGTGGAGAAGACGGCAAAAACTGATCTGATTCTGGATATAGGCCGAAGGTAGAGCCAACAGATTTCCTGAGCAATTGGGTATAGTCTGACAGAAAGAAAGAAGTCGAGGATGACTCCAGGGTTTTTTGTTCTGAAGCACCTGAAGAATGGAATTGAGATGGGGAATGCTATGGATGGAGCGAATGGGGGAATAGAAGATAAGGAGCTTAATTTCATTTTGGATGTGAATTTTAAGATGCCTATTAGACATCCAAATAAAGATGTCAAGTAGTCAGTGGGATGTACCAGTCTGGATTTCAGGGGAGAGGTCTGGACTGGAGATATAAATTGGAATCATCTGCACACGGACATGGTTGAAAGTCTTGAGACTGGATGAGACCACCAAGGTAAGGGGTATAGATGAAGAAGAGAAAACCAAGAACCAAGTCCCAGGTGCTGTATCCTTAAGAAGGCAGGGAGGAGGGAAGAGCCAGCAAGGGAGATAGAGAAGTGACCAGTGTGGGGTAGGAGGGAAATTAAGAGAAAATAGGGTCCTAGAAGCCAAGAGAACCAATTGTGTCAGAGAAGAAAGGGGGCCCAACTGGCTCGAATTATGCCCAAAGACCAAGTATGATGACAGCTAAGGACTGTTCCTTGAACTTAGTCAATGCTGGCAACCTTGACAACATCAGTTTTACTAGAGTAGCAAGGACAAGAGCCTGGCTGGAGTGGCTTTCAAAGAGAGTGCATATCACCTATTCTGAGAAGTTTTATTGCAAAGAAAAGCAGAGAAATGGTAGGTAGTGGCAGAGGAAGTGGTTAGGAGAAGGTATTATTATTGTGATCCATTTTACAGATGAGGAAAATTAGGCTTAAAAAAAGCCTAATTTTCTGCAGCACTTTGGGAGGGCAAGGCAGAATTGCTTGAGCCCAGGAATTCCAGACCAGCCCGAGAAACATGGCGAAACCCTGTCTCTACAAAAAATATCCAGGCATGGTGGTGCATGCCTGTAGTCCTAGCTACTAGGGAAACTGAGGTGGGAGGATTGCTTGACTCGGGAGGTCAAGGCTGCAGTGAGCTGTGATCGCACCGCTGCACTCCAGCCTGGGTGACAGAACAAGACCTTGTCTTGAAAAAAAAAAAGTCAGGGAATTTGCTTAGGTTCATTCAGATAGCAAGCTGTGATTTGAGCTCAGAATCTAGAACCTGAGCTCTTACTTTTTTTTTTTTTTAACCAATTCCCTATTGATGGAACTAAGTTTTTCTCAAATTTTTATATTATATTGATTTTACTTCTATTGTTTAAAATGTCAGTTATAAAGTAGATGAATATTCTTTTTTTTTTTTTTTTATGTTGGCTAGGCTAGTCTCAAACTCCTGACCTCAGGTAATCTGCCCACCTCGGTCTCACAAAGTGTTTGAGCCACTTCTCTTGGCCCAGATGAATATTCTTACAGGTAAGCCTATAATCACATTTCTGATTATTTCCTTAAGATGAATTTCTGGGCGTAGACAACCTGGGTCAAACGGTATGCACATGTGTACAGCTTTGGATGCCTCTTGTCAACGCTCTACGGAAAGGTTGTAGTCGTTCCCACTTTTGTCAGCAACACAGGAGAAGGTCCATCTCCTGCATCATTACCAACACTGGGTCTTATCTTTCTCTCCCAACTGCCTCCCACTGCATAGTGAGAATGATACCATTTTATTTTCCATATGTATGATTACCAGTTAGATTTGACCATGTTGTACAGGTCTATCTCCCAGCCACCCCTTTGGCTTCTGCTGGTGTTTATCACTCTCAGACTTGATCGCCTTCACCTGACCCCTCTCATCAGGAATATTCATCTCTTGCTGCAATAGACCCAGTTTAGAAGGTAAACTGCACAGAGCTAGGTTGAATTTTAAAATAACAGTAATTTTAGGGTAAGAAATTAGATCTTGGGTGATTTTTCTATCTGAGAGACTGTGGAAGAGCTAAGATTTTAGAAAAGCTAGGGGCAATATAGGAAGGTGTGATCATTAGACCTTCTGTGTGACTCTCCATGTAGCTATGACCTAAGAGTGTCTCGTTCCGAAGAATCCCTCAGAGTGTGCATTGAAAGGGGAGGGAGGTCCCTTCATAAAATATACTTCCAGGGCCATAATTTTCAATTTAGCGACTGTTGGAGGGCTTTCCTGTTCTTCCTTTGCTCCTCAACCTAGCCCTGTCTGGGAGCACAGCTGATAAACTGACCCCAGTACATCTAAAAGAAGCATAGATATTTTTCTTTTCTTTTTTTTTTTTTTTTTTGAGATGGAGCCTCACTCTGTTGCCCAGGCTGGAGTGCAGTAGTGAGATCCCGGCTCACTGCAACCTCTGCCTCCTGGGTTCAAGTGATTCTCGTGCCTCAGCCTGGGACTGAGGCTGGGACTCATCCCTGTAGCTGGGACTACAGGCATGTGCCACCACACTGGCTACTTTTTGTATTTTTAGTAGAGATGGGGTTTCACCATGTTAGCCAGGCTGGTCTCGAACTCCTGACCTCAAGCAATCCACCCGCCTTGGCCTCCTAAAGTGCTGGCATTATAGGCATGAACCACTGCGCCCAGCCAGATATTTCTTTTCTTTTCTTCCTTTCTTTTTTTTTTTTTGTTTGAGATGGAGTTTCACTCCTATTGCCCAGGCTGGAGTGCAATGGTGTGATCTCAGCTCACCGCAGTCTCCGCCTCGCAGGTTCAAGCGATTCTCCTGCCTCAGCCTTCCAAGTAGCTGGGATTATGGGCACCCACTACCACATCTGACTAATTTTTGTATTTTTAGTAGAGACGGGGTTTCTCCATGTTGGTCAGACTGGTCTTGAACTCCCAACCTCAGGTAATCTGCCCGCCTCGGCCTCCCGAAGTGTTGTGATTACAGGCGTGAGCCACTGCGCCTAGCCAGATATTTCTTTATACCAGTAATACATAGTTGTTGTAAAAAGATTAGGAAATAGGCCAGTACAGTGGGGCATGTCTGTAGTCCCAGTTATGCAGGAGGATTGCTTGAGCCCAGGAGTTCAAGGCCAGCATGGGCAACATAGAGATAACCCCTCTCCACTCCCCCATCTCCATTGCGAAAAAAAAAAAAAAAAGATTAGGAGGCTGGGTGCGGTGGCTCACACCTGTAATCCCAGCACTTTGGGAGACTGAGGCAGGCGGATCACCTGAGGTCGGGAGTTTGAGACCAGCCCGACCAACATGGAGAAACCCCGTCTCTACTAAATATAGAAAATTAGCCAGGCATGGTGGCACATGTCTGTAATCCCAGCTACTCGGGAGGCTGAGGCAGAAGAATCACTTGATCCTGGGAGGCAGAGGTTGCAGTGAGCTGAGATCACACCATTGCACTCTAGCCTAGGCAACAAGAGTGAACCTCCATCTCAAAAAAAAGAAAAAAAAAATTAGGAGGTAATGACAGCAGAAAGAACAATAATTAAACCAACAGAAATTCCTTCCACTGCCCTCTCAGATAATTGTTACTTACATTTTGCCAATTTTGGTTTTCAGATCTTTTCATTAAATGTTTTGTATAATAAATTTACATAATCTATTCTTTTCCAGTAATAAATCTTGAATGTCTTTCTAACTTTCCAGTTGTCAATAAATGTTAATCTACATTGTCATTTTTTTAAAAACAACTTTTGTAGAGACAGGGTCTTGCTATGCTGCCCAGGCTGGTCTTGAACTCCAGCCTCAGGTGATCCTCCCTCCTTGGCCTCCCAAAGTGCTGGGATTACAGGCATGAGCCACTCCGCCCAGCTTACACTGTCATTTTTAATGAGTTAAATTTTATTGAATTTCATTATATGGATCATTTTAAGTAATTTAGTGAATCTCTAATTTGTGGACTTTTATTTCTTAGTTTTTTACTACAATAAGCAAGAGTGATAATATTGAGGCTAGGTTCAGTAGTTCATGCTTATAATCCCAACACTTTGGGAGGCCAAGGCAGGATTGCTTGAGCTCAGGAGTTTGAGCCCAGCCTGGGCAAAGTACTGAGACCCCGTATTTACAAAAATTTTTAAAATTAGCCTTGTGTGGTGGTGTACACCTGTAGTCTCAGCTACTCAGGAGGCTGAGGTGGGAGGATCGCTTGAGCCCAGGAGGTCAAGTCTGCAGTGAGCCATGATCATGCCATTGGATTCCACCCTGATGACACAGTAAGACCCTGCCTCAAAAAAAAAAGAGTGCCAATATTGTACATACATATTTGTCCACTTGTCCAGTATTCCTCTAGGATAAATCCTAAAAAGTAGGGTTACTAGCTCAAAGAGCGTGCACATTTTTAGAGTTTCTGAGATGAACTCCTAATGATCCAAACATTTCCTGAACTACTTTATCTCCACAACAGAGTTCTAGTTATAGGTTTTCACTCAACGATGTTCTTGCTGAAATGAGCAAGGAAGAAGTCACAGATTCTCTTTGGGAAAATGATTAGTTCTGCAAGCAAGGATATTATTTGAGAAAGATAAATTGAAAACAAAAGATGAATGGAAGGTGAGGAGTTTAACCTAGAACGCAATCTAGAACGCAAAGAAGCAGATCTGTATGCAAGTGAGAACCTGAGCTTCCAGAAGCTTCCATGTGACTTGGCCTCTGCTTAATAGCAGCAGCAATCCTAGGACTCTTGTTTAAACTCTGTCTACACTCTCACCATCCTGTCTGATGGAAGAAATGACAGAACTGGAAGAAGAGACATCGTAGAGATGGATGTGTGCCCGGCTCAGACAAGCACTTAGTGTCTTGTTAAGAAGACCGAAAACATAAACAAGAGAAGAATCCTCTGTAGCAACATCAACAACCATCTTCACACTAGCCCTTGGTCTCTTAAGCCAACAGGCCTAAAATCGAGCTCACTGTTCTTTCCCATGGACCCTTGTTCCTATCATCCCTATCTTCAATTAGTGGCATCGCCGTTACTTAGCAAGCCTAAGCAAGAAACCTATGACTTCTCCTTCTCCTTTAACTCCAACATCGAAGGAGCCAATTATTTGCGTGTATCCTATCCTCAATGTCTTTCCTTTCCATTCTCCTCATAACCCTGGATGGAGCCTCCATTGTCTTTTGCCTGAGAGAAGGTGGCGATCTCCAGAATGTCTATGGAGGTTTCAAAACCTTCTGATGGCTCCATCGTCTGCAGCTGATGCTTCCATTCCTTAGTAAGGCAGTGAAAGCTTTTCCAAAATCTGACCCTAGCCTTGCTTTTCAGCTTCATCCCCGCTACTTCCCTTCTTGTCCTCCAGATACTTGGACTTCCCCAGCAGTCGCCTCCCTGTGCTTTTGTTCTGGTGGTTTTTTTCCCCACTGACCTCTCTTTCTCCTCTCTTTCCCAGCCTGCTGAACTCCTTCTCATCCTCAAAGGCCAATGCAAATATTTAATTCTCTGCAGCTTTCTCCAGACAGAATCAATCATCCTCTCTACTGTGTTCCCATAGCATTTTGCCTAACTGCTAGAGAAGCATTCAGTAGGTATCAGATGCCTCCTGATAGACTGGGATTTCACTGAGGACATGGAATGTGTCTTATTCATCTTGGATACCGAGGGCGTAGCCGAATTCCAGGCATATAGGAGGGGCTTAGTAAATATTGGTTGAATTGGATTAAGTCAGAAATAGATCCAGGTCACTGACTCTTATGCAATGTCTTTTTTTTTTTTTTTTGACAGAGCCTTGCTTTGTTGCCTAGGCTGGAGAGCAGTGGCGCATTCTCAGCTCACTGTAGCCCCTGCCTCCCAGGTTCAAGCTATTCTCATGCCTCAGTCTCCTGGGTCACTGGGATTACAGGTGCACACCACCACACCTGGCTAATTTTTGTATTTTTAGTAGAGACGTGGTTTCACCACGTTGGCCAGGCTGGTCTTGAACTCCTGACTTCGGGTGATCTGCCCGCTTCAACCTCCCAAAATGCTGGGATTACAGGCGTGAGCCACTACGCCCAGTCCCAGTGTCTTTTATATTATCCCAAAGTGAATACTTGCACAGCGAGGGGGCCATTACCAGAAGGCAGAATGGACCAACCTCCCACACTTCCTTTCTGTTACCCATGGAAATTAATTCTTTTGTGTATGATATTGTCTCTAGTTACATTACAAATATCCCTTCTGCTGAGCATTCTAGGGATTAAAAAAAATACAAATATCCCTTGGAGGGATTAAGACTTTAAGGCATTATTATCAAGGTTAACTCTACTAAAATTTTTGTGCTGAAAATGAACTTAGAAGTTGTTACTCCTAGGCTGGGCGGGGTGGCTCACACCTGTAATCCCAGCACTTTGGGAGGCTGAGGCGGGCGGATCACTTGAGGTCAGGAGTTCGAGACCAGCCTGGCCAGCATGGTGAAACCCCGTCTCTACTAAAAATACAAAAAAAAATTGCTAAGCATGGTGGCCCACGCCCATAATCCCAGCTACTCGGGAGGCTGGGGCAGGAGAATCACTTAAACCCAGGAGGCAGAGGTTGCAGTGAGCCAAGATCGTGCCATTGCACTCCAGCCTAGGCAACAGAGAGAGACTCCATGTCAAAAAAAAGAAAACAGTTGTTTCTAAAGAAACAACTAACCTACAGGGGCTACCTGCAGAAGGAGTGGGCATCAGGTATGTTAACAGGAGCACTGAGAGGAAACAGTTGCAGAGCAGGGCTGGGGGATGTGGGTGGTAAGGGCCAGTTCTGCGTGAGGTACCATGGAGGGAGATATGGGGTAGTGTGAGTGCCTGGATGCCTGGCGAGGGGATGTGCGGGCAGGGAGGGAATTACATCGTGGGAGAGGGGAGGAGCAAGGACAAACTCTTCCTACTTCCCAATTCGGTCAAATGTCTTCCCTGTGTAGAGTGATGATTCTTAGTGAAGATCCTGACTTCCAGACACCTCTGGTAGATCTCCTTTTTTGCTAGAGTGCCAGAAAATTCTTAGGTAATTTTCCAATTTTAATTCATTTTCATCTTAAAAATAAATACATGCCTCATGGTATTTTTAAGAGGGGTGGGTGTTTGATGAAATAAAATGAGTGACAACAGGGTGTCACAACTCCAGAAAGGTTTCGTATCGCTGGTTTAGAGATTCCCAGTGAGTAGGAGTTTGATGAACTGAAAAATGAAATGGCTTCCAAATCACTCTGCCCTACTACGCTGATTTGAAACACATAACCTGCCTACACTGCTGAAAAGCTCCCAGCCCTGGGGTGAATGAACCCTGCAAAGCTACTACTTGGCACTCACCCAGCACTGCAAAAGGCAGTGAAAGGAAATGTTCACAGTCAATTGATAGCAGCAGGACCCTTGGGGAGCTAGAGTGAGGGATGGGACCAGCCAAGGCCATCTGGACGGGCATCCAGGTTACCACACAAAAGCCTTCCTGGGAACTCTCAGGACAATGACGGTTTGGAGCCCTGGCTTCACGTTTCACTTTAAAAGAGGCCACTACCTAAGTGGGTTGAGATGCTCCTTTCTGGCTCTCTCTAGTCAAAGGTTCATACTGCCCAGGAGAAGAGTGAAAAGGGAAAATCAGCCTTATTAGCATGTATTTATTTGGGGGCTTGACTCTGAGGCCGCATTTGGTGGCGCCTTTCAGGACTGGAAGAGGCTAGAAGATTCCTGCTATATTTGAAAGCAATTCATGACTTAATTTCACATTTTTAAGCTCTGGATTATGTAGGGTGCTTATATATTCAATTATTACCTTGGATTAAGATTTCAAATTGTGATCTTCCTATTTCCCAAAGAAGAGAGCTTGAGGAGTTCATCAGGCCAGGATTCTTCTTCCTTTGAGAGACAACCAAGCAGATGGTGCTGCTAATATGCAGACACCTGCACAGATGCCCTGTTGAGGCCCAAACGACAGCTGTGGCTTTTCTGCATACCCAAGGAAAAACTTACCTTTCCCTCTCTGATTTTTCCTCTTTTAAAATTCTGTATAGCTACTAATGGAGGGGATAAGGATAATGCAAGGCAGGGCTTTTAAAACACTTTTAAAGCAATGAAACCCTCTTTCAATTGAAATCTGTGCCTAACTTCAGTATGTAAAACCAAAAAGAAAGGCCAGGTGTAGTAGCTCATGCCTGTAATCCTAGCACTTTGGGACGCGAAGGTGGGATGATTTCTTAAGGCTAGGAGTTCAAGACCAACCTGGACAATATAGCAAGACTCTGTCTCTACAAAAAATACAAAAATTAGCTGGGTGTCGTGGTGCACACACCTGTAGTCCCAGCTACTCAGGCAGCTGAGCCAGGAGGATCTCTTGTTTTTTTGAGATGGAATCTCACTCTTTTGCCCAGGCTGGAGTGCAGAGACGCGATCTCGGCTCACTGTAACCTCCGCCTCCCAGGTTCAAGCAATTCTCCTGCCTCAGCCTCTCAAGTAGCTGGGATTACAGACATGCGCTACCACGCTCAGCCAATTTTTCTATTTTTAGTAGAGATGGGGTTTCACCATGTTGCCAGGCTGGTCTTGAACTCCTGACTTCAAATGATCTTCCCACCTTGGCCTCCCAAAGTGCTGAGATTACAGAGGATCTCTTTTTTTTTTTTTTTTTTCTGAGACGGAGTCTTGCTCTGTCGCCCAGGCTGGAGTGCAGTGGCGCAATCTCGGCTCACTGCAAGCTCCACCTCCCAGGTTCACACCATTCTCCTGCTCAGCCTCCAGAGCACCCAGGACTACGGGCACCCACCACCACGCCCAGCTAATTTTTTTGTATTTTAGTAGAGACAGGGTTTTACCATGTTAGCCAGGATTGTCTCGATCTCCTGACCTCGTGATCCGCCCACCTCGGCCTCCCAAAGTGCTGGGATTACAGGCATGAGCCACCGCGCCCGGCCCTGGAGGATCTCTTAAGCCCAGGAGTTTGAGGCTGCAGTGAGCTATGATCATGCCACTGCATTCCAGCCTGAGCAACAGAGCAAGACCTCATCTCAAAAAAAAAAAAAAAAGGCCGGGCGCGGTGGCTCAAGCCTGTAATCCCAGCACTTTGGGAGGCCGAGACGGGCGGATCACTAGGTCAGGAGATCGAGATCATCCTGGCGAACACGGTGAAACCCCGTCTCTACTAAAAAATACAAAAAAACTAGCCGGGCGAGGCGGCGGGCGCCTGTAGCCCCAGCTACTCGGGAGGCTGAGGCAGGAGAATGGCGTAAACCCGGGGGGCGGAGCTTGCAGTGAGCTGAGATCCGGCCACTGCACTCCAGCCCGGGCGACAGAGCCAGACTCCGTCTCAAAAAAAAAAAAAAAAAGTAGGGGCCTGCGTGCAGTGGCTCACGCCTGTAGTTCCAGCACTTTAGGAGGCCAAACTGGGCAGTTCACTTGAGGCCAGGAGTTCAAGACCAGCCTCGCCACATGGTAAAACCCCATCTCTACTAAAATTACAAAAATTAGCCAGGCATTGTGGCACACACCTGTAATCCCAGCCACTCCGGAGGCTGAGGCAAAAGAATCGCTTGAACCTGGGAGGTGGAGGTTGCAGGAGCCAAGATCGCACCACTGCACTTCAGGATGGGTGACAGAGCAAGACTCTGTCTGAGAAAAAAAAAAAAAGAAAAGAAAAAAAGTAGTGGTTCTTTGGTTAAACTGGGATGGGGACCTGGAGTCTTGACCTCCTTGCTTCCCGCCCCTGGGAAGCAAATCTGACATAAATTCCAGAATGCTGCCATCATCCCAATCAGAATTTCTCAATCTCCAAGGGAAATTTTGTCATCTGGCACTTCAATGCCTGTTTTAAAATGTTACAAAAGATTTGGCAAGATCCCAACGGGAGGGACAAGCACCTACATCTGGGCTTGGAAGCCAACGGTGTGATATGAGGGAGTCTAAGTGGCCACTGCCAGCTCCGCTGTGGGGACTGCCAGCCTCCCATCCTGCTTGCTGTCTACATCACATAATGTGCCTGGTTGAGAAAAGGCCTTAGGAAGAGCCAGAGAGTGCCAGAGAACGGAAAGAGTGTGACACATGCCTCGCTGAGGTCGAACAGTGCGTCAGCCTTACTTTCCCAGCTGACTAAGGACGCCTCCCAACAAGCTGCTTGCCTGCTGAAGCCTGTCTTGAAAACTGAGAGTAGATGGCCATGACTACCCAGAGTTTTCTCCCCAGCAGTTAACGAACACACAGCAGACGCATTCATGCAATACCTTGGAATCATCCCAGAAGCTCCAGGTCAGGTCTCCTTGTCTGAACGCCCCTACCTAGCTGGGCCACACAAGCAGTTTCCACGCTGAGTCCACTAAGTAATCCAAAACAATTGTTCCTTGGGATTTTTCTGAAAAAGAGATAGAAAGGGCTCTGCCTCGGTGAGCAGAGGGAGCTGCTTCAGTATTGGAAACAAAGATAACTGAAATGCATTCTTTGGAATCTGATAAACCCTCTTCCCAAGACAAGAAAGGCATTAAGTCAGACCTGAGATTTGGGGCTCATTTCAGGTACGTGCTGGCTTTAGCAACTGAGGAAAAGCCATTATCCCTGTCTTCTTAATTTCCCACAGCAATCAGTCCTAGTAGGTTCACCATGTTCTCTGTGCAGTTTGAGACAAACTCACTAAACGTCCTGTTCTCTGAAAAACGATCCATCCAAGAGGGCACAGGCCAAGAGTGTTTCTCCTTTTGGTATCAGGGACAGGTTGTGATGCTGCTGTGATCAAAGACATGAGTTCCTCAGGTGAGGGGGCAGCCCGTCTACAGTCCTGGTGGGGAGGGCTGCACTTAGCGTAGGAGCTGGCTATTTCACTGCCCCCACCCCATCTTCATTGCTTGTAGGCATCCAGAGCTCTATGGTGTGACATATATCCTGGAATAGTTCCAACATCCCTGTTCCAGGACTTGCTAGATGCAGACCCACTTGTGATATGGTTGGAAAAGTCCCTTTTCACCTCCTGTCCTAAGCTGCTAAGAAAAACGAATCATGTAGCCTAGATTTACATGTCTGCATTTTTCTGGTGATCATGAGTGACTGATTTGAGCAATAAGTATATGACTGAGAGGCCCCCGCCAGGCATTTGTGGAGTGGATTGCTGAAGCTTAGTTAGTTAAGCAATATGCCAGAAATTTGGAGATCATAAACTCTGACTTTTGCCACCCTGCTACATGCTCTTCAGCCAGTTATTTCTCCTATGTTCTGCCTTTATAAAATGGGGATAAGTTATCTTTGAGATTGTTTTAAGAAGAGACACTAATGAAAATGATTGCCAAGTGCCTCTCTAAAGAGAAAGTACAGTAGGCATAAGTGCTTTATGTGATGAAATTCAATCTTTCTTCCTCCCTTTGCAACCTGAACCATGGAATCAATAATGTTTTTCCAAGTGCAGTGTCCCCAGGACAAAATGTGAACCAGTTTCCTGAGCTCGGCAGCCCTCGGATGGGGAGGAGCCCCCTGGCCTCTGGGGCTTGGCGTCCTGGGCTGTGGCTGGCTTTACGGCTGTAAATGCCCATCTTATCCTGGGATTCCAGCCAAGATGCCAGGGTTGCAAATTTCTCTAATTTCAGAGGAAGCTTTGTTTAGGGGTTGAGTCTTCACAATGGCTTTTGCCATCTATCTCCATTTTATTTTCTCTTTTATCGAGTACCTATTGTACCCCAGGCACTATGCTAACTGCATTCACCTACATTATCTTGTTTAATCCTCTGAGCGGCTCGGCAAGGGGGGTGTCATTACCATTCCTATTTTACCTCACGAAATAGACACTTGGGGGGGAGTGAAACAAGTTAGCAACGTAACACAGAAGACAATGGGCAAGGCCAGGATTGCAACCCAAGCTCATCATTACTCTCCCATGCTTCCTTTCCCACAGTTGTCCTACATTCAGACACTTCCCATTTAAGAGAAAATCAAGCTGCAGTTTGAAAAAGCACTAACTAGAGAGTTCAAGGGAGTGGGGTCTTCTGCCCACACCTGTGGGGAAGATGCTGTAGGCATAGCTATTGGGTACTACCTGCCTTGGAGGATGAGGGTGAAGGGAATGGGGTCCTTCCTCTTTCACATGGTCCTGAAGACCAGTGCCCAGGCCTATGTGTTCTCAGAGCATTTCCTGCCCTGGATGCAGGGCATCCAGGCTATCACTGCTACAGCAGGGCCCCTAATGCACTGCCTTATAGTCAACATGACTGTCAGCTCATTTCAGCTCAATCATCCGGCCCTGTGAGAGATGCCCACATGCTGAAGAGCCTTTCTGCAGTTCTGCGTTGAACTCTTCATGTGGTCTCATCTAGTAATGAGTGCGAGTGGTAAGTTCAAGAAACAGAGCAAGGGAGAGGACCCTTCTCGTGTAGTTTTGTTTTTTTTTTTTTTTTTTTTTTGAGATGGCATCTTGTTGTGTCACCCAGGTTGGAGTGCAGTGCAGTGGTGCAATCTCGTCTCACTGCAACCTCTGCCTCCTGAATTCAAGGGATTCAGCCTCTCGAGTAGCTGTGACTACAGGCATGCGCCACCATGCCTGGCTAATTTTTGTATGTTTAGTAGAGACGGGGTTTCACCATGTTGGCCAAGCTGGTCTCAAACTGCTGACCTCAAGTGATCCATCCGCCTTGGCCTCCCAAAGTGCCAGGATTATAGGCGTGAGCCACTGCGCCCAGCCATTGTAGTTCTTTATATAGAGAAAAAAGTACTGATGACTAGCTTGTATCAATGAGAACTGAGATGTAGAGCAAAGCGGAGCTGCTTATAGATTGACTGATTTTTTACCAAAATAAGGGAGGGTCCTTCCTGACAGTTTTGCTTGGGGATTGGGGGAGAGACTGCAGCTTGTTGCATAATATCTGTTTCCCTCTTAATTATAAAACTCCAAGTTTATATGGAGCAAAGTGTCCAGCTAACATCTACATTTCCAAGCGTTCCTGGCCACTGAGATATAAGGGAATATTATATGTAAAAATTTCAAGAAGTCTACTGAGAGCAAGCTGACTCAGAGGGCCAACCTTTTGTTGCTTCGCTTGTCCCTCTCCCTTTGTTCTGCTGCCTGGAATGCAGATGTGATGGCTGGCATGCCACTGCCCTTTTAAACCATGAGGTAGCCTTGGGGATGGAAGTCAGCACTAAGGATGGTGCTGCAGAAAGCTAGAAGCAGCTTGGGTTCCTGCTAACTTCATGGAGCCACCATTCCTGCCCAGGACTGAAGTCCCCTGGAATTCTTTTACATAAGAGGATAAACCCTGCTTTCTGTTGTATAAAATCTAACTTAATCCTAAGTGACAGATTCTGTTTGATAGAGGCAGCTGGAATTTCTAGCTAGTCAAGGTCACCTGAGCCCTGTCTGCTCTATCTACCTCCTAAAGGCACATACCTAAGTCTTCCGGATAGTCTGTGCACAAGTTACATGATCACCTGTAGAAGGGTAGGTGTGGAGACTTTTTAGGTAATACTAAATTAATTCCTGAATTCTATTTTTTGTGGAACGTGTGTATATTGAACACCTACCACACACCAGGTACCACGCTATACACACTCGGGTCTACACTCAGGACACTTAAATAGAGTATTTGAATAGAGTGAGATGGCAATTTAAATTGAGTGAGATGGCTAGGTGCAGTGGCTCACACCTGTAATCCCAACATTTTGGAAGGCCAAGGCAGTCAGATTGCTTGAGGCCAGGAGTTTGAGACCATCCTGGGCAACACAGTGAGATCCCGTCTCTCCAAGAATTTTTTTTTTTTTTTGAGACGGAGTCTCACTCTGTTGCCCAGGCTGGAGTGCAGTGGCCGGATCTCGGCTCACTGCAAGCTCTGCCTCCTGGGTTTACGTCATTCTCCTGCCTCAGCCTCCCGAGTAGCTGGGACTACAGATGCCCGCTACATCGCCTGGCTAGATTTTTTGTATTTTTTAGTAGGGACGGGGTTTCACCGTGTTAGCCAGGATGGTCTCGATCTCCTGACCTCGTGATCCACCCGCCTCGGCCTCCCAAAGTGCTGGGATTACAGGCTTGAGCCACCGCGCCTGGCCCCAAGAATTTAAAAAAAAAAAAAAAAAGTTAGCCAGGTGCAGTGGCATGTGCCTGGGGTCCCAGCCACTTGGGAGGCTGAGGCAAGAGGATTACTGGAGCCCAGAAGTTCAGCGCTGCAGTGAAGTATGATCACATCACTGTACTCCAGCTTGGGCAACGGAGTGAGGCCCCCATCTCTAAAACAAATAAACACAGTGAGCTGTGCACTGTGAGGAAGTGCTCTAACAGAGGAGTTCCCTAACCTAGTCTTGTAGAAGGCTTGCAAGAAAAAACTGGGGCCTGTAGGGCAAGTAGGAGCCAGTCAGACGTAAAGTAGCCAAATGAAGAGCTTTCTGTGGATGATATACAATCTTTTTTAATGGACTACAGTTGTCTTTCCAAACAGGCTATGACCCAGCAGCTGATTCTTGCTAAACTTGCAATGATCTTGCCATGATCAATACTGGTAGCCACTCCATTACCGTACCCACGGTTTAGAAGGTAGTTTGTATTTTTCCTTCTTTTCTTTTACCACAAACTTTACTCCCTCCTAGGGTCTGGAATAAGGAAAAAAAAATGCGTGTAGATCAGGAAGTCTGATTATGTACCAAGAGAGATTTGGGGAAAATTCAGACTGGTTGTATCCAGATGGGTTTGCACAGTCAGTATGTGGTCCTAGGCCTTGGTCTTGGCAGAGAGGCGGTGCAGGGCAAGGGAATTTCCCCAGTGATCAGTGGTCTCTAGGGAACCTGTTTGACTTTGTCACTCAAGGACCTTATCAGATCCAGGCAGCTCTAGGTCTGCTGCTTCTGCCCCAACCCAAGTACTAAGTTTTTGTTTACATTCAAGATAAGACTGGCCAGGCGTGGTGGCTCACGCCTGTAATCCCAACACTTTGGGAGGCTGAGATGGGTGGATCACAAGGTCAGGAGATCAAGACCAGCCTGGTTAACACAGTGAAACCCTGTATCTACTAAAATTACTAAAAATTAGCAGGGCGTGGTGGCACATGCTACTCGGGAGGCTGAGGCAGGAGAATCGCTTGAACTTGGGAGGTGGAAGTTGCAGTGAGCCGAGATCACGCCACTGCACTCCAGCCTGGGCAACAGAATGAGACTCCGTCCCCCCGCCAAAAAAAAAAAAACCAGATGAGACTGTATTTGATTATAAGTAACAGAAACCAACTAAAGCCAGCTCAAGCAAAAAAGGAAAAGTCAGAGGACAGGTAAGGATTTTCTTTTTGCATCCAGTGGCAGGAAAGCAGCAATGTCGAAGGAAGGTATCAAAGTCATAAACTAGAAGGTATCAGGAGTCCCCAGTCCACATGATAATGAATAAATAGTGCTCGTGGCCAGGTGCAGTGGCTCACGCCTGT